TACGTTTCCACGTCGAAAGAGAGGCCTCCTCATAGTTTCCTTTCTTTCCTTGTGCAGTTCTTAAACCTAATCCGAATCTATATTTCCTGGGTTTGAAAAAGGAGGGTAAGAACAGACGAGAAATATACTAGAATACCTTCCTGGATTCAGAATACTTTCTGGTGGTAGTTAGAATAACAATCAGAAAACAAGCTGCGGCCGTAAGATGTTCGATCAGCATTAATTATTCCTTTTTTGTAAAACGTGCTTTCTATACGCATACATATTTATAATTGAAATGAGGTGTTCTCGTCGAACTTTTTGTAGAAATTCTAATCATAAAAAGAATGAATTGATTTCGCCTGTAGACACAAATAGCCCCCCCCCCGCGCTTTTATTTTACATGCCCATACTCTGCAGAAATTAAATTTGGTGTCACTGGCAAATTTATACGGGTGGATACTTTTTCAGGTGCTGACTGCGTACATCTCGCCACTTAGTTAGTTAGATCATAGCAAAGGACGGTCATGTTCGTTTATTTTTAGCTACAAACACAAAATTCATTGATTAAAAGAAACAGCCTGTACATATGTTAAATCAACAAATAATCGTGGCCGAATACAGAAAATTATCAGAATATGGAGCAACACCGCCCTCTAGTGGTGAGATGAAATCTTGTTCGGCAACCCGGGTTGACGCCACATGTTTATGCTTTTTCTACGATGAATGTGAAAGAAAGATATTTGCAAGGAACACTTGGTTGTTTTTTCTAATAAAATATTTCTTTTTCGCTAAAGACGATTAAAGTCATGCAAAAAAAAAAAATCCAAAGGAGCGTGCAATTGTTACAAAGAATGAGAAATATCCTTCATATTTACAAGTGAGAAGGGGTATATGCCAAGTCCTATATCTTGAATGACGGGGAAATGTTTACAATGACTACACAATGCTGCCTTTTGTTATCAAGAGCACAGGATTTTAATCATAGGAATTTTGCTTAACCAAAGAAACGACTTCTTTATGCCTAATGAAGTCAGATTAAGTGAAAACACGAACGAGGAAGCACGTTGCTGTTCCAGTGCAGTTTGCATAAAACCAAACCTCCCGTTTCTCTTTTGTCTGTTTCTGTTCTAGGCTTCGATTTCAAGCTCAGAAACCTTCCTGCCTTGAACTTGCCTATGTCATTTTATTTCTCCCTTTCCCCATCGGAGAGCTGGTCAGTTTCGGCTTGCGCACTTACCCTTGGAATCATAACAACATCCACATTTCTGCTTTATTGTGACACTCAACATATCCAAAAAAAGAAACGGACTCTTAAGCAAATGTTACTCGGCTTATTGGAAGCGGAGGGCTAGTGGTTTGGGAATGGCAGCGTTTCCATGTTTCCAAGCACATCCAGCTACGTAGCTGGGCTGCAATGGCATTTTGAAATAAATAAACGTGGACTTGGGTTCAAACCTTGGCAAGTTTAGATTCGGTCCCGTTCCAGCCAAGGTGGACCTTCCCCAACGCTAAAGTCTCGCCTGTTTCAAGTTCTATGTATTGCCCTAACCTTTACGAGTGTTGTTGCTCTTGCACTTTTTGCACACCAAGCTCTTCGTCTTTTTTGTTTGTTGTTTTCAAAAGAACCCCTGACTTTCTAATATATGGCTACTTCCAGGTCCATTGGCAAACCCAGCCGAATTGGTCTTAATCTCCTCACTTTTCAGACTTCAGCGGCGTCCAAACTGCTGTCTCGCCCAGCCGGGGTGACATATTGAAATTTATAGTACTGATTTTAAGACCTGGTTTTGTCTGCATCGGTGTTCTATCCTAACAAACGCAAACATCAAAATAAGATGGTCTCAAAGAGAGAAAAGCGCCATCGCATATCGTAAACTCATTAGGTCCAGACGTCTAGCCTTCTCAATGGTTTTATTACGCCTCGGTTCTTCCTGTTTTAAAAAGAATGATAGGTATAGGGTTGACAATGAATGGGGAAGCAAGGCAACACCTTTTCCTAGGCCTTAATCGCTGTGGGTCTTTCTGAGGGGAAGGGGGAAGTGATAGCATCTACAGACCCCCAGGTCTCGGTGCCTGTTTCCCTTCACCTTAAATCTTCTTTCAAATGGCTTGAGAGGCCATGTTTTCCTCGAGACGCTTAATTAAAATGGTGTCTCACATCAGAACAACGCTCCTCTCCTTCTCTAAAATATCCCAGAAGCCTGCCGCCCACACCTCAATTGCACTGTGTGTGTGTGTGTGTGTGTGTGTGTGTGTTGGTGTTTTTAAATACAATGTACATACATGATTCAGCTAAAGTTTAACACTTGGACGTTCCATTTATTTCCATTGAGGAGTTATGCATGTGCTGAAATCTCTACATCAGGGTGGCTTCAAAGTCCTTATCAGAAATTCACACACACACACACACACACACACACATATATCTGGTGATATGTGCCGATAACCATATGATCGAAAAGGACGTACATACTAAAGCAGCTCTTGACAAATACCGACAGATCATCATGTCTATCAAGTGTCTTTAAGGTCCATGAATTTGAATGAGCGACATGGCGTCATAATTATGAACTAACTTCAGTCTTATTTGAGGACCTCTATGTTTCCCTTACAGATTCCCACACCCCACCCCTGAAATTGCTACATGAACCTTTCGGGTTTTTTGTGGGGGGTTTTGGTTATGTTCCGGATTTATTTTTTTTAAGAAAGGCTACGAAGCTTGCGCCACGCACCGCCATCAAGTAGGTGCGTCCACCACTCACAATTGCAACCAGGAAATATTCTCAGAAAAGAAGGTCGTAGAGGCTATGAACCCGGGGCAAACGCTCTCGACCTGTCCTAGGATGTATCTCCGCATATTTAGATCGTGGCTTAAAGACCAGTTCTTTTGCTCGGTTGCTGGCAGAGGTGTGTGTGGGGGGGAGAGATTTGGGAGCAAGTCAGGTTCAAATAGAAAAGATATCAAGGAGGAGTGGGGAAGGGAAGGAAACAGGGCGGGCGGGGGTCATGCAGGCCTGCTCTGTACTAGCTGCTATACAGTTGACCTGCTGAAACCCTTCCTTCGTGTCCACGATTGGTATAATAATATTCAGGAGTGGAGAATGATGAACCGGTGTCGGTGGATACCTCCTGCCTCTCTAAGAACAGAGGAAGCGTCCCTTCGCCTGCAAATGGCTTCCTGCGGGTTATATGCAAGGCATCTTTATTACAGAGAGCGCAGAAAGACTGGGGTTTTCTTTTTTTCCTTCTCTCTCTCTCTCTCTCTCTCTTTGGAGGGGGCGGCGGTTTCGTTTATACTCAGGCGCTGTCTGTTTATTTCCACTTTGCAGAGAGAAGTCAAAGGCAAACCGCGGGCGCGTTTGCACGCACATTACATCTTATTCCCCAGCACACGCAAACCCCCCCATCTTCCCAGTCAATTTATTATTATTATTACTGTTATTTCACCAGCTCAGCCTTTATTATAATAACCTATGACAATTACATTATTATTATTATTATTTTAAAAATTAAGTCCTTCGGTAGAGTTCCAGGCCTCCGTCAATGGGGACGGGTGCTCAGAACTGTTAAGCCGCGGGGCCTGTGGAAGTTAATACTGTTTCAAGTACCGCTTTTAATACAGTGCACTGGAGAGGATGAAACGGGCAGCCAGGGGGGAGATAATAAAAATATTTTATATATTTTTTTCTTAAAAAAAACATTTCACAGCCTCGATCTGGCAAGACTTTTGCTAAGCATAACCTGCAGAAGGAAAGCGATGCACAGGGTCTGGAGTCCTCCCCTCTCCCCTCTCCGCTTTTCCTTTTTGGAAAGTCCGAGGTAAACGCACTATTGCCATCAAGGTAATCCTCGCTGTCATTCAGTATTATCGTCTTCATCGCCGCCTTTGCCTTCAGTTTGGAAAAGCGACTGTCCCCCCATCTTACAACCCCTCCACTTTCTCTCTCTCTCTCTCTCTCTCTAGTCTAGGGTCACTTGGAAGTAGCATGTCAAACATTTAGTATTTAGATAAAGCCCCCCCAAAAAAAAAAACAACCCTAACGTGCACTCACAATATCTTAAAACCAAACTGGAGGCGCGGGGAAAGAAGCAACTTTTACCAAATACATTCTCCGCACCCAGCCCTTTCCTTTCCAAAATACCTGACATCGACCACATTACTGCTATCTAAAGAATAAACCCACCAGATCAATAGGAAGTTTTCGAGCCAGTGGACCTGGCAACATAATAATAATATAATATTAATAATAATAATGACAATGACAATAATTAATATCGATACTTGTGTGTGTATCTTCATAGAAAGCCCAGCACATTTCCACAAACGCACGCACGCACACCCTCAAGGCGCTAGTCCCCTTTATTCCCTTTTTCCTTGTTCATCTTTTTCATTTTCATTCTTCGGTTCTGAAACCATATTTTAACCTGTCTCTCGGTCAGGTTTAAAATCCTAGCCACTTCGTAACGGCGGTCGCGGGTGAGGTACATATTAAAGAGGAATTCCTTTTCCAGTTCCAGAGTTTGGAATTTTGTGTAAGGGCAACGCTTTTTCCTGGTGGAACGAGCGTGAATCCAGTTCGCGGCGGGGTTATCTGGAGAAGGGAGAGCAAGAAGGGGGGGGAGAGAGAAGGTCAGGGTTCGGAGGGAGAAGAGGGGCAGGCATTGAAGTAGGGGAGAGGGTTGGGGAGGGGAGAAAGGTCGTTAAATTAATTTAACGGAGGATGCCTGCTCTTTTCACAATTGAGGAGGAATTATCATAAAACCTTGAATGGCCCGGTCTGTTTACTGTACAAATGATGTCTTCTTGATGGCCGTAGGTGGTTATGGGGAGCCTTTTTTTATGGCTGCTTGTTGCCGCTTGCGCTCGAGTAGGCGTCTAGACGTTTTTATAGGTTAGTAAAACTATCGGTTTTGCACATTGGAGCCTTACAGGTTGGGGTAATAAATCAAAGCGGGTGCAATTTCTTTTCTTTCTCTCTCTGGCTCGGATTTTTTTTATTTATTTTTTTTAAACTTACTTGGGTCAAGTTGCTGCTGAGGCTTCTCCTCCTTCAGATCGCTGCTGGGGCTGGCATTGCGGCTGCAACCAGACGCTGGCTTGGCCGGGGTGGCGGTACTGCCGTTGCTGCTGCTGCTGGTGGTGATATTGCTGGTGGCTGCAGCTACGGCGGCCGCAACCGGGTGAGAAGAACCGTTGCTCACTGTTTGCTGCCGCCGCCGCCGCCGCTTTCTCGCGGGGCTCTGCCAGGAAGGAATTGCACGTGTACTCGGGCCCATTGACCCCCGAGGGCTCCCTAGACGGCGCGCACTCAGTTCTTTTGGAAGGAGACTCGGAGCTGCAAGACGAGGAGGAAGAGGAAGAGGAGACGGTGGCAGAGGAGGAGGAAGGAGAGGGCCCCACCGGACCGGCGGCGGCGGCGGCGGCTGCCCCGCTCTCCGGCTTGACGATCCCGTAGTGGCGCGCGCTGGAGGAGCCACCGCCGGCGCCGTTGGAGGCGATGCTGGTCGTCGCCGCAGCAGCAGCAGCAGCAGCAGCCGCGGCACTAGCGGCGGAGACGTTGCTGTTGCCTCCGCCGCCGTTGCCGGGGCTGCTGGGGAAAGAGGCGAAGGGCTCAATCCAGGAGCGCACGTATCTGCCTCCGCCGCCTCCGCCGCCCTCGCCCGGTCCGCCTAAGTGCGGCTGGGGCATGTAAGGGTGGTAAATGCCGGGCATGGGCGCCGGAGGCTGAGGGTGCACGGCGGGCCACGAGGCTGGGAAGACGGCTGACTTGGGCGCGAAGCTGCAGGAGGAGAAATCCGAGCCCTCGGCCACCACACCTGAGGATGGCCTGGGGGTCGCATGGTGACCTCCCTGCAGGAACCGGGCAGCCCCTCCGACGCCGCCGACGCCTCCTCCTGCTCCTCCGACGCCGCCACCGTACACTTCCTCGCTGTCGTGGCCTATGAGGGAATCGACATAGTAGTTACTGAGGGTGCCGCCGGTCGACATTTTTTGGAGGCTCCCTCCGTAGCAGGGCATATGATGGGGGGAAGGCAAAAAAGGTTACTCTGTTAACTGTAGATGATCGCCTGGCCCGCAGAACAATCGTAGTATTTTGCAGGCGGCCAGGCTCAGCCATTGGTCCCTCCGCCCACGTGATCATATTTACCAATACTCCAAGTAAATCAATCCGCTAAACTGAAGGGGTTGCTGTGATTCAAGCGGAGGTGGTGGTTGGAAAAGAAGGGATACGAAAAGGAAAAACCCAAGAAGGCAACAAGCTAAGACAACAACCTCCTCCCGCCTTAAAAAAACCTACAAAAAACAAACAAAAAACCCTCATTCCCATCCTCTAAGGAAAACACTAGTCTCCAAAACGTGTAATTGTATACAGGCAGAGAGAGAGAGAAATCCTTCCACTCTCTTGCCTTAGGCTTAGCAGGACTCCAAGCGGGCGTGGCGCGCTACTAGCAGAAGCAAGTTCGGGGACTATTTGTTCGCCTCCTTTGAGAGGTTCCTGCCATTCATTCCGCTGCCATCAGCCTCAAGCACGGAAGTTCTGCGAAGGCTTGGCTTGTCCTTGTCTTTGGAAGCTGCCGAGGAAAACCCCCATTGAAATCATAATAAGAGAGAGAGAGAGAGAGATGGGGAGGGGGGAGCCCAGCGAGATCCCCGCCTGTGAAAACAAACCCTGCCAAAAACTGAGAGTGTGTAACGACTCCTCATAAAACAGGGAAATGTTACAGTAAAAAAAAAAAAAAGCGCAACAATGCAGGAGAGGGCCACTTTTCCAGAGCAGCTCTTGGTGTCGTTTCCTTTAAAAGGGAAAAAAAAAAAAGGAAAAACAGCAACACAGGGGCAGAATTGAATGATTGAAAAGAGAGAGAGAGAGAGAGAGAGGAAGGAAGGAAAGAGCTGCCCATTGTGTTGTTTTAAAACAGGTGGAAGACCTCTCCGCAATGATTTTATGCCTATCAATAAAAATTTTATGAGGTGCATTTGATTATAGATTAATGTGTCCCTCTAATAAAATGGACTGATGGCACACGAGGAAAAAAAATCTCAATCTCTCTCTCTTTCTTTCTCTCTCTCAACACCAGTCTTTACTACAGTTTTCAAACTTTGGATTCAAACGGAGGCGTTGTCATTACTTCCAAGGTACTCCAGAGTTTGGGACCCTGAAATGCACGAAATGAATGAATGAGCTCCGAAACGCCGCAGCCCCTTGGACAAGATCTCATTGTAAATCGAGCCCGCTTTGCAAACATTCTGCGAGAAAGACCAACTCGAGGCACCAGTGGCTAGAACTTATCCCCACTCCCCACCTCAACACCTTCCATTCCTTAATTTTATTTCCTGGATATTTTCTAGTAAGCACAAACTCCTCCTCCGCCAACCCCCACCCCACCCCCGCACCATAGAAGTCAAGGAGATTCAATCTGGTTCAACCACCTATATTATTTACTATCAGAGACCAAGTATCCAGAGTAGGTTTTGAACCTGAAGCAAACGCTTCGCCGAGGATTTCAAGCCAACTGAGCCATTTGTTATCATTCCTCCTTTCCCCCCTCCTGCTCCTTCTTCTTCTGTTTGATTCTGAGAAAGCCTAATATGATTGACTGAGGAGAGAACGTGCAGGGCTACTTCAAATCCAAATCTTTGCTTGGAACAAAACAAAGGAAGACAAGAAACGCATCGAGGGGAGCCGACAGGACTGCGTTACATATCTGGACGCTGGAACCAGATTTGTAGGAACCCATCTCTCTCACTGTTTGGTCTCTTTGGGTTTTATTTATTGTAACTTACTGTTTTCTTTATGTGCGATGGAACTCACGCCCACTTCCTTACCTCTCTCTTTCTCTGTGTGTCTACATACACTCAATGTTCATGCTCAAATACCAGTTCAAAACAACCTAAGTATGCGGAAGCCATTGCCCTCGATTCCAGCTGAATTTACTTTCAGAGGAAAACGAGTTTGAATCATAGCCGTAAGTGCCATTTTCTCACGGCAACATCGCGGAGTGTTTACTGAGAGCGAGTAAAAAGGAAAGGGAAAAAAAAACACCAAATATCTCTAGGTGTCTCAGTGAGGGAGAGACGCTTTTATACTGAAGTTATGGATATTACAAAACACAAACACAAACCCAGAGCTCTGCATAACATCTCACAAATACCCAACCACCTGGTGTTAGCAAAGACAGAGAGAGTATACCTATCGTCTGTGTACACGACTATATACAAATACATACACAGGTTTTGTGCGCGCGCGTGCATACATGACATCTTTTGTACGCCCTTTGAATTTAGATACACACAGTTTACTATTGATAAATCAGTACTCCCCAAAAAAGCATCCATCTATATAAGAACAACTTTATCAGATAATTAACCAAAACACTGGGCTCGGGTTGGAGAGATGTGATGTCACTCGTTCTTTCATGAACTGTCTGGGTGTCATTAGGTTAGCAAATATTTCCAACATGTTAGAGGCAATTTCCTGATTTGGAAGTCAAGGAGGGGGATTTGTTGTTAGTTACGAGCCCATTTCTCCAGAAGCTGAGCCGGCAGTTTCTCAAGCTCTCTCTCCCCCCCCCTTCTTTCTTTCTTTCTTTCTTTCTTTCCTTCTTTCTTTCCTTCTTTCTTTCTTGAAGGTGAAAGCATTCCCAAGTATTTGGACTTCAGCCTGGAGTCATGTTCATTTGCAAACTCCTTTTAAGGGACTTTCTGCTTCGGATCTCCCCACCCCACCTCACCCGACCCCCACCCCGCCTTCCTAACCCCTTCCCCAAGATAAAGTGGCTGTGAGCAAGATTTCGCAGCGATGTCCGGGGAGGGCGTTGCGGAGAGTCGTGAACTTCATTATCCTGATGTGGGCTACAACGAAGGAACCACAGAAAACAAACACAGGCACAAAGCAAAATAACCCAGGATTGTCAGGAAACCAAAACGTGTGAGCGTTTGGAGACGAAGCGGGGAAAGGCCCTGTAGACAGAGACTAGGCAATATGGCTTCCTTTATTTTTTTTACAACACTGCAAGTAGGAATCTAATAATAATAATAATAATAATAATAATAATAATAATAATAATAATAATAATAATAATAATAATAAGTGTCTAGGGTGCATGAAAAGCAAGGGATGTGAAATGGAATAAAACAACTGCATTTATTTCGCACGCTGTATTTGTAATGATATATACAAACTGCAGTAAGGATTTGCAATAAGAGCACATTTAGGCTGGCAATCGGGGCGAAGGCTCGTTACGGCTTCCGTTTTCCTTCCTAAAAGTCAACTTACCGTTTATGATTGAATGGGATAAAGGTGTCCACTTTCGGTCATAACATTTCACTAGCGTTTTGGCGCTCCCTTGTCAAGACTGTCTGTTCCCGACGCCCTAGGCCATTTCCTCGCGACCCTAGCAATTGCTAAAGGTATTATTAGGACTGACTGACACAGACAAATCTACCCCCCTTTTAAAAAAAAAAATCTACGAGCTCCCACACTAGTAGGAGGGTTTGGGTTGGGGGTGTGGGGTGATGGCGTGGTGCGCGGGAGGGAGAGTCTTTGAGCGCAAGGGAATGGCAAGGAGAAGCTGCGAAATGGGCGAAATGGTAGCGTTTTCTGGTTCGGTTTGGATTTGGAAAGACCAACCAAAGGAGCCTCGTGAACTTTACAGAGTTTATTGCATTATACATGCGAATAGGACATGCACAAAGAAGAAGGCGTAGGAAAAAGAAGAAGAAGACATATTGCTTGTTATACCACTACGATTCCACGTATGCACCACAAGGGGAAGAGAGAGAAAAAATGTCTACAGTTGAGGAAGAATGAAGGATTCCATTGCACGCACGAAGGACAAGTTTGACGCACACGGGAGAAAGGGGAGTGTTACATCTTAAAATGTGCTTTTTAAAATTCCTTTTCCTCTCACTCTCGCTCTCGCACTCTCACTCGCTTTGCCTCCCCCCCCCACCTCTCAAGGAAGAAAAAATGCTTATTTTTCTTTCTTTTAAATAATTATTAAAAGTATTGTCATCTACTCAAAATGGCATGGCCCGTGTAACAGCCGCCCCCCCCATAAATACCACGTGGTGAGTTTAAAAAAAAACATGGAAAAAGTCACATTATCTGGATGTCCAACAGCTCCAATAAGTTAAGACCAAATGATCATATTGAATCAGTGTTTACCCTGCATTACGATGAGAAAAATAATAATAAATTACACGTGCTAGGCTATATATATATGTATATATATATATATATACACACACATACATATATATATATACATATATATACTCGTCGTAGGAACATACATAAACACTTGCAGCACTAAAAAGAATGACAAAAGGTCACATTCTATCAGAAATTAAAAAAATGGAAAATGAAGGGGGTCTACTTTTGTCGTCCCCCCTCTCTCTGTCTCTGTTCCCCCCAAAGTCTTTCCTACATATATATATTTATTATATATATATATATTTATATATACCAACTGGTGGTAACTGAGCCCAGGTCTCAATCCTTTCAAGCCCCCAGTTGAACCGGTTTATGAGAAGGTCAGATTGGCGGTCAGTTCTCGGATCCGGTTCTCTCTGCTCATCTTCTTGAGCTTCATTCTGCGGTTTTGAAACCATATCTTGACCTGCCTGTCAGTGAGGTTTACGCTCTTACTGATCTCTAGGCGGCGCTCTCGAGTGAGATACATATTGAACAAGAACTCTTTCTCTAATTCCAGTGTTTGATGTTTAGTATAGGGACACCTCTTCTTTCTGCCACTCTTTGCAGTTAACCAATTGCTGGTTGGAGTATCGGACTTGATTTCCTCTAGCAACATCAAAGGAGAAGGAAAGAAGGAAGGAAGGGGAAATAAGAAAGAAAAAGAAAAAAGAAACACCTCAGTCTGTTATAGAGTACCCTTGGCCATGAACCTAGTACATCCATTGTGTCTGGCAGATATGGTGGCTTGTGGGTATTAAACATTGCTAACGGAGGTGTGTACATTGGGGCAGGGCGGGTTTTTTTTTTTAAAATATAATGATAATGATACAAAAAATGGTGTCCACATTCGAGTTAAACAATGCCAGCAGCAACACTATTTTCCACTCTCTGGGTTATTTCTGCAGCTTTCCCAAACATTATCTCTATGCATTCTCCCTGCTAATCCACATATTTCAAAATAGCCTGGGACATTGGGAGCAATATGAATACTGTCATCTTCCCAGTGGTTCGCATTTCAGTGGATGTGAACTGTGCAAACCAACCCCCGCCTTCTAAAGCCACTTGTTTGGGAAATGGCTCAGTTAAAAACAGTACTATCCTCAATCATGTTGAAAGAGATTCATCTGCAACACTCATGAAATTAAGCAAACACCCAAGGCGGGGGGGGGGAGGGAGGGAAGTGGCCTTTTTAGTCCCCAACTAACACCAATATGGAGGGGGGCGAATACCTAAAAATCAACTGTATTTATCGTTTTCACTTTTACTTCCCCATCTCCTATTAGATGCAAATGCCAGACCTGGGCTTAATAAACATGGTCTGTATTGTTCTGCACTTACTACGAGTAACAAATGCACAGTAGAGATTGACAAGTTAATTTTTACTAAAGGCATGGTTTCTGAGGGGCCCCCGCCCCGCACTTCCACCATATTCTGAACTCTCCAAACGAAGCCCCTGCGGTCCTCCCCCATCTTGAAATAAACAATGCAGTTCCTTCCATGATTTCATAACAACCTTCAAAGCCTAGTGAAATTAGGAGACCCAAACTTGTCTTATCTATAGTACCTTATCCAAAATTTAGACTTCCTTCGAAGAAAGGGCCTTGCCTTATTCTCCTCATACTTTATATGGGCTCTGTGGCACCTCCCTGTTTTATTTTATCTCGTCAAAAGAAAAAACAACAACCCCACAACTTTTTATTACCATGCTTAGCAATCGACTGTGCTCTTCACAGAGAAGATCCACAGGAAATATTTGATCCCAATTTGACCGGGGGGGAGTAACAGTGGGTGTAATTTAAGAACCTCTAATCTGAAGGAGCTGCTGGAGCAGTTATAATGCAGCAGCCTTGGCAAGAGAGAAACGAAAACACCCTTTTCCTGGCTGAATCTCTGGGATTCAAAAGGCATAAAACGATGAGTGTCACCAACATCGTGGCCAGGTCCTAAGGCATCCATGCCCTTCTATTTCCTTTTTGTTTTTCCAATTGCAAAAACAGCACATACCCAGCACCTGCAGCAGCAGAAAGAGGTGACGGGGGGGGGGGACCCTGTCTGCTGAGCAGTTATGGCTGAGCTTAAAGCATTAAATGCTCCTGTGGTTTACGAGACTGGCGTGCCCAAGTTAGTCTGCCACCACGTTCGGGTATCTGCCCCCCACAGCCGCCAACTTCTGCGATCATACCGACCTTTGCTTTCTTTCTCTTGGGTTTCTGGGCTGGAAACGGAGGCTTCAGCTAGGCAGCTCCTGTCGTCTTGCAGCGTGGACTTAGACTCGGGACTTTCCACTTGAGAGACTTTGGCAGAGTTGTCTGAATGGTGGCTGCTGGTGCTGCTGGTGGTGTTGGCGGCGGCGGCGGCGGCGCTGCCGCTGTTGGGGTTTTCATTCATTTTCTTCTCCATCGGAAGTTGCGAAGCTATCTGCGGTTTGGAAGCGCCGCGAGGGTTTAACTGCAACATGACAGTTGAACTCGTTTCGGGGCTGTTATGGTACTCTTGGGTTTTCCCAGTGGCGTAGGTCTGGCTCAGCCTGAAATATCCTGGGACGGGGACCTCGGGGTTTTCAATGGAGCACGAGTCAGAGACCAGCCTCTGGTATGAAGGGACGTCGGACGAAGACACCAGCTTGGAGCGCTTATCAGAATACATGCAGCAATTGGTTTCTTCCTTAATATTTGTCGTGAAGGAGCAGGTGGGGACCTGCTGAGTAACAGGTTGCTCTATTCGGCAGGACCTGTTCGGATCAGTCCAGTTGTCTACTTGAGGTATATAAGGGTGTACATTCATACCCATATTTTGATGGTTGACTTCTCTCTTGGCCAGAGACGGTAGAAGTCCACAGGTTTGCATCCCATAAGTCCCAATGTCTGTGCTAGGTGGCATGTACATACTGGCGCTGTTGGAATAGAAACTATCGCTCCTGCAGGCACTGATCAAGGAATCGACTAGGAAAGTGTTGGCGGCAGGAGAGCTGTTGGGAAAGGACATTTTGGGGAGGAATTTGAAGAAGAGAGATTGTGTCCTTTGTAGGCTGACATCTCTACGAAAACATTCCCTGTGTAATTGTGGATGCCTCTGCACAACCACATGACAGCTAAGCCAATGAGATTTGAAAATGGCCTTCAGCCGCTACCTCCCCGCCGGTCACGTGCTCCGCGGGACACTCCGGGCTGCGGCGCAAAGGTGGTCAACAGCGACATCTAGAACGTCGAGGAGAAAGTGCGCGCGCTCCTCCAAGCCAGGGAGCTCCAGCGGCGGCAGCAATATTAGTAGCAACCTTTTTCCCTGCTTTTTTTTTTTTTTTGGTCCTTTTGCAAAGGCAGCCCTGGCGCACTGCGCTGATTTAAAACAAGGAAATGCGTTGAACTGATCTGACCCCCCCATTACCCCCCCATCTCGCAACTCTTTCGTTGTTGCTGCTGGGTTGTTGCTGTTTTGTTTTGTGTGGTTTTTTTGTGTTTTTTAACACCACAAAGGAGTTACTGTCCGAATTCAGGCTGATCCTGATCAATATATATATACATATATATGAGACAGGTACTTCAGGAAAATCCCTGGCTGGCTTAAACAGAGGCAAGGGGGGGGGAGATGGACGCAGAGGCGCGCGCAGACACACAGAGAGATGGAGGGAGTGGGAAGGGGAGACGCATGCAATCCTACAAGGCGAAATATGTGGGTCTCCTTCTCATTCTCCCCACCTGTGAATAGTAATGGTGATGATAATATTGATAAAAGTGGTTTCCCCCATCTCCAGTCCTCATGGTTGCCCAACATCTCCTTCAAGTTACATGAATTGGCGGCAACTGACGTCCTCAGAAGAGACGTCCCTAAGTCTCAGCCCTGGACAACACATCCTTCTCTTCTCCACTACTTCCTCCTTTCACTTCATAGTCAAACACTTTCTAAAACAAAAGCCACAACATATAATAAAGGTCCCAAAAAAGTTGTGTGTGTGTTGTTTGTTTTTTGAGAGTGGACAGCTGACTATGTCTGAAGTGTAGGCGATCTCCCAACGTGTCATAATTTGGGGAAGATACAAAGGGGTGGCGGAAGCGGTGGAAATAATGTTACCTTTTATGGATTTTGTAAAAGCATTGGTTCCTGACAAGTGCAAGGTACAAAAGGTTGTGGAATTTATTAATACAGATTAAGAAGAATCAGAGCGATCAATAAAATTCTCATCTACATTCTTGAGCCACTTGGTAATTTTCTTGCTTCTGAAGCTTTTTCAAGAGTTATACCCTCTGTTGCCACACACGGGAAGATATTTTATTAACAAATCAATCGAGACTTTGTAAAGGATAAGATTAATAGTTAAGATTTAGCATAATGGTGTTCGCGTTATGAATTATTGAAAATTATACTATTGATTTTTCCTCTTCGCTGCTAACCAAGAAGGTCAATTTTTGTTTTAATACAAATCGTCAAATATTAAAAGCTAGAAAAAAAATTTTGGTCATAAGTTTGGTTTTATAGCTCCAGCAGATTCCTAAAATAAAATAATTAATAAATAAGATGAGGGTCCTTTCTCATAGTACATATGTGAGGAAATTCTCTTTGCCCACGAAAATGGCTCCAGAGAAAAGGTAAAGTTTTCGTAGACGATGTTGCTGAACTTCGCACACACAAAAAAACCCCCCACATATGCACTCACAACGCGGTAGCCCGCATCCCACAACGGAATCTGCTGGCTTCTTACATTATTTCATTACCCAACTTCATATCTATTAAAAAGGGCGATAATAAACACCTGAGTCCACCCCTCCCTAGTTCTTGACCACAGGAATCGTGGGCAACTCTGCCTATGGAGAAATTTGGACGCTTCTTTCAAAATAGATTTCCCCATTTCGATGTTCATCCTTTCTTTTCCTTATATTTATACCCGCATCACTCCCTTTTCTTGAAACACAAGGGGACACATATCCTTGAAATTAAGGACTGTTCTCCCCCCCTCTCACCTTCGAGACTTTAAAAACATTCATATTTTCCCTCTCCTCCCCGCTTGTTTGGCAGTGTGTTTTTACTCCAAAAGTGTCTCTTTATTCATAAAATGTCACACGCCGCACGCCACACAGGAACCATCTACTTGAGGTTAAATGTTGCCTTGAGTCCATCTATTTATTCCAGGCCTTGAGCTCATCCCTATCAGCAAACCTTCCTTCTCTCCTTTGAAATAAGAACCTCGGGGAAACCAAAACAGACCCTTTGAAATGGCACCCACGGCCTCTCCAATGACTGCAAGAAGCTTAATTTTCCGTCCTGGTTTTTTCACCCTTATGTCTTTGGCACTTTGGGGGGGGTTGCTTCACTTTCCCCCCCTCTTCTTCTTCTTCTTCCTCCCCTATCCATTTGCCGAAAACAACCCCCTTACCCCAGTTTGAAATCTCGCTGTGGCAATGAGACAGACCCTTTTTGAAAAAGCTTATCGCAGCTGTTCAAATACAACATCATTGTCAGGTTAAGAGCCGGTGGGTTTTATGGCTCCAGCCGCCTCTCTTCTCTCCCTCTGTCTCGCTCTCTCTCTCTCTATGGCTTCTGTGTTTGTCGGAGAATCTCCAGCTTACCTTCGTAAAATAAGCTACATTCCACCATCACCACCCCAGATAAACATTTTCTCTCTTTCTTCATGGACCCCTTTAAATTGCGGGTCCATAAGCCATGCCCTTGTCCTGGATAGGGGCTTAGAAATAAGGGACACAGCACCGCAAGGAAGTGGTGGTGGTCCCAGTGTAGGAGAGAGGATTTTTGTTTCCCCCCCCACACACACACCTCCTCCTTTTCTCCAATTTGAGATCATTATCAGAGCCATTGCTAAGATTTTGTCTGAGCTGGGGAACAAACAAAAGTGGAGGTCACGATGCTCCCTCTTTGGGGGCCGGCTTTTTATGTGCTTTCCAGCAATTTCCCTTCCTCCCCCCCCTTTCCCTCTCCCCTCAAAACAAGACGCCAGACAACCCACCGAGTTTAAAGCAACCCAATACTATTTTCTGGTCTGCATTTTAAGACTTGACTGTGAAATCTAATCAGTTTTTTAAAAAATAATAATAACAATTCCCCTTCAAACGGCCTTCCGTAATTCTTATTTACACTTTAAGAAGTGCCCTAGAAATCTCCCAATGGCCACATCCTCTTTATTTTATTTTAGTTTGGCTATATGTTGCCCAGTTGTAACATTAAAGTAAGCCAGACTTTCCCCCCTGTTTTCCATCTCAGGGGTGTGTGTTGTTTAATGAACTGACTCCGAGTCTTCCCTTTAGAGTTAGGACATTTCGCTAGATTTGAGGCGCAAGATACTAATGCCGCCATCTAATGACCTCCAATTATTTTGTTAGATAAACCATGTGTACCGTTAAGGCTCTCCAGTTCTGAAGCAATCCATTGATCATCACCAATTACTACTTTTAATAAAGAAGAGTAAGGGTGGGGACAGAATTTGAGCAGGCTTGGGCAAATATATTAAAGTGTGTGGGGTGGGGTGGGGAATGGCACTGAAAACCGAAAACCTTAAAATTTGTGTGACACATCTAAAGGTTGAATAAACATCTCATTGGGAAATGGGTTACTCAGACCTTGTGTGTTTAACGCCACTTCAGTTTTAAATCATATTAAGATGGAATTGTAGTAATTAACATTAATAAATAAATCAATATTGTGCCATAAATGAGATATACAATCTACATTAATGCAAAGGTTTTCCTCTTTTACTGTCCCATATTTTTTCTTCAAAACCCCCCGAAAAAAGCTCCATTTATAACTCGATTACTATTTGCAGTAAAATATATGTTGACATCCCCCTTTTCTGTCTTAATAAATAATAGAAAATAAAACCCGAGAGGAAAAGTCGATACTTTAAACTTTAATTTTAATCCTTCAGATTTATTCGACATTTTGTGGCTGGCCGTTTGATGCCCTTTTTGGGCTTTGTTTTGGAATGTATGTAGGGATGTATTCAAAGATATTCCTCCTACCTTTTCCTCTTCTAACTGCAATTTGTTTTATTCTCTTCTCATTATTAAAGGGATGGGGGAGGGGAAGGAGCCTACCCAAAAGTGGGGGGCAGATATTTTGCAGCTGTGGACTCTGAACTGGACTGACAAATATTGTTCAAAAGATTGGCATTCAGACGGGCTCCCTGGAAGCCTATCTAAATGTTCCCTTCCTCCTTTCATCTAAGTATTATTTAATCTGGAGGCGTTTACACATTGATTCAGTTTATTTCATTCCACACCACTGCAGAGCAGAGGCGCTGAAAGGTATTCCTTTTAATTAAGAAAGGAAATTAGTGCCATACAATATCGTGGCTTTTCGTCCCATCATAACACAGCAATTAAATGATTCTGCTTTCTGAGCCTCACGTTGTTATGCGGAGCAGAGACAACGTCCCAAATATTTGGATTAAAAAGACGAGGGAGATGTGTGATGAGAGCATCGCTCTTGGTAATGCACAGAACATAATTAACTAATATTAACCATACTACATGAGATATGAGGGAAAAGTCAACACCACGCCCTCCCTTATTTTTGCTCTGCAGATATTATATGCATCTCTATAGCTATATAGATATCTAGGTCTATAGATATCTATAGATGTACCAACTGATACACGTCATAAACGAATCTCCCCTGAAGAGGATTCCCGTTTTGTCCATTGTTTATCATAAGCCTTTTGTACACAAAAGCACGAGTTCAATTTCAGACGCTCGCAGCCTTTACTAGAAGGGTCTGGCCAGGTTAATGTCTTTACAGCATACATCCTCTACTCTCTCAATTAATTAGAAGCTCCGGAGAGACTTAGTACTGTATACAATAGCATTGGCCGTAGTCTTAAGTTACAGTTATTTAAAACATGGAAGTATCAATGCGGCATAAGCTTTAGCAGATTTGGCAACCTTGGATGGAGGGATAGATAGACAGACAGACAGACAGACAGACAGATAGATAGACAGAGAGACTTTTGTATTTTAAATTGCCAACGTTTTCTGCGCCATCTTAACACTCTCAGATCAAAAAGGCTTTGGGAAATTGCTGAAAATCATAACCAAAATGAACTCCCATCCCCACACCTCCCCAGGTCCATCACACGTGCGTGAAGGTTCCACAAAGAACAAAGGCGAGATTTTAAATATCCAACTAATTTAATGAGCAGAGTATATATAATACGCATATAGCCCCAACCACAATGTTACATTTTTTTAATTTTCAAAACAAGGTCTTAATATAAATGGGAGGGGAGGGGAGGGGTGAGGGAGAATTCTAACCGTGTAGTTTAGTCTTCATGCGGTGTCTGACAAGGCGTGCGTTAATTTAACAGTCGGGCGAAAGCCCCACACCAAACATTAACCTTTTCTACATTATTCTTTCCCAAAATAGATTCATCTTACACCATCCCGTTTATTATGGATCTTAAATGGCAAATACCAATTTCATTTGTGTTTCAACATAATGGTGTGGTTTTTTTTTTAAAAAAAAACATTTCATTTTATTTCAGAACACTTCCGTTTATTTCAGGCGGAAAGGCTATTCTAGGTAACTGGCGTAACAATGAACTCCTTTTTATAAAAAAAAAATATTTTAAAAATCCACTGGAAAACAATGCGCCCAACATTCATTTGGTAGGGATGACTTTGAATGTGTCTAGTTTATTGGATTACACAATGCCAAATTTCGAATCCATATTATGCAGAAGGAGAAAGGCGGAGGAAACCAACTCTGATCTTTGGTGTTTTTACCTAAAAGTGCGTTTTCGGAGACAACTAAGATCTCCCAAATCAGATGCCCTTTTTTGTGGAAGGGGTTCCGTTTTTGTTTTAAACATTTTAGGGGTCCTTGGAATACATAATTCTCTTTCCGTTTGTATCCTTTCTGTGGAGAATGAAAATTAGTTTCACAATATCGGGTCAAGGTGACGAAATGATATCCACCAGACGCAAAATGCCCGACTCTTCTCTGGTAAATAAAGCTATCTCTAGAGAAAAGGCACCCCCCCAAAAAAGATGAATACTCAGCAGCCCATTTTCCCACTGATTAAAAGTACACATTCTTTTTAACATTGAACGATCTGCCTGCGTTGGTCTTCTCATGAAAAAATCTCGACCTAAATATAAACTGGCTTTGATCACATTGGTATTCTTGGGGCGCTATGATTGCGCTGAAAGAGAAACAATTAGAATTTCGTTCTGTTGAGGAAATCCAGGAGATAAACTACCCCGTCCTAAAAAATTACTAGTTTAAAAATTTTTCTTATGCATCATATTGTAAAAGATTATGACCCAAAATAATTTTTTTAAATGAAATACGTCTTGTTCGTGTCATGGTCATGAGCTACTTGTTTAATAAATCCTGTTTATGCTCTATTTTCTCATTTCCCAAGCCCTGAAAACTTATAGTTGCTTATATATTAGATATTTTATTAGTAGCAGGGTGATTGGGGACGGGGGGTGGAAGTACACTTGAACATCAGGACAATTAGACATTCTGGAATATTAGCGCGCCCTCTTGTGGAATTTAGCAGTCCGGCATGCAGGGAATTTTTTATTTGAAAAAAACACTGCATGCTTTCTTCTTGCATTTCTGAGACATTATTCTGTTGGGTTTTTTCTTCGGAAAAAAAGCTTTTATATTTCTATTCCTATATATGAAAGCTTTTTTCGAAGAAAAAACCCAACGGAGTTGTCTTAGGACAACTGTTGTTGGTGAATTTGAATTGATTCGCCGTTTTGGTACATTCCTGACTGAAGAGTAAATGATAAGGAAAGTCACCCCCTTTTTAATAAAACAGTTTAAGGCATCAGGAAAGCACACAATATTTTCCTATAACGTTAAGAGGATATTTTTTTTCAGGCGCCTTGAGACTATAAGTTGAATTATTTGGACGTCCTATGGGCTCCAAATCACAAGTCAGTTCTTTTTCGGATAATCTGCGTCACATTGAATTCCATGAACGAATTCTCATTTATTTTAGTGGCACTGATTTGCAACTGTTGCTTTTGACTTTATTTATTTATCTATTGGGATGTTTTTTTAAAAAAAATCGTATTGACCTGATTTCTGTATGTATATCACTACCAAACAGTAAAAGAAGTAATGGTGGCTTATGCCTTGCGGGGCGGGAGGGCGGCTAGGGACAGAATTCTAAATATGGTTTCAGGAGGAATTAGAAGAGGTTTCACAGCAAATAAGCTGTTAGTCTGGAGAAACTGCAATGGAGTTAGTCTGGAGAATTCTGCAAATGCCCCTGGTAAGAACTGATGAAATGAACTATTTCCTGGTGGAAGTCGAAGCGCTCCCAAGACCTACGTGGTGGATTCGCGGGTGTGGATAGCTATGCAGTAAGAAGTGTGTTTGTGTGTGTGTGTGTGTGTGTGTGTGTGTGTGTGTGGTGGGTGGGTGTGCGAGAGAGAGAGAAAAGCCAGGGGGGGGGAGGAAGTAAGAAATGGGGGGAAGAGGCACACAGAGAGAGTGGGTGGTGGTTGAAAATAAGAGAGGAACCTTTAAGGCTCCTAATTATTCAGAAAGGTTAAAGGTGATGACCTTGACATTTTGGAAGTTCAAAGGCAGACACTTACTGTTTTCCTTGCTTAAGAGTTTCAAGTTTTAATTTTTGGCCATGCCCACCTGAAGCCTCGACGCTTAACGTTTGTTTTATATGTTTCGCTCTCGTTTTATCCGTCCAGTTTGGCCTTTAATTGATGCAAAATGGACCCACCGCTTCTCCCTCCCCCGCCCTGCTCTCCTTCTTTTTTAAAGCCAAATTCTTTTCTCACTCGTCTCCTTTATTGCTCGTTGCGGAAATCTCTTTTTCTGCCACCAGAAGGTGTACAATATAACCCAATTAAGCTGTTTAGACCCTGAGCTTTTATGGTGTTGTCTAGACAGTTCAAGGTTTTGTAAACAGCCTAGCTAGGTCGCGCAATATAAAAGCAGAGGCGAGGACCTCCACCAAACCCTTCTCGGAAAAATAGTAATAATTATAAGAATAATAATGATAATGAAGAATGGGCAGCTTGGTGGCTAATTAGATTATTTCTCCCGTTCCTTTGTGTGTGTGTGTGAATATAGGGTGGAAGTTCAGGAGGCACCTTTTAAAAGATTTGTCCTCCTTTTTCCAGTACCAGTCACCCATCCTTAATTAAGTTCAAGTTTTGGAGTGGGAAGTTTCGTTTCGACTGGAACTCTAAGTCGCTATGCTAGTTCGCTTCGCCTCCCCAAAGTTCATTAGAACTTTGCACTACAGTGGATCTGTTATCCACTATAAGTCGGATCAGGATGTGCTTTACAATATAGCGCATTTTTAAAATACAGGATATGTTCCAGACAGAGTTTTAAAAGCAACACCTTTTAACTCCCACTTATTCAAATGGCATAGATTTACATACATATTTTTTCCTCCCCCCAGGCTGACATGTTGAGTTTTCCCCTTAAAATAACAAAACCTGGGTAAGCCCGCCGGGGACGTTGCTCCTGTTTTGGGGTTTTTTTAAAAAAATTATTCTCATTATAGCGGAGAAAAAGAGAACGAACAGGGTTTTTTTTCTTTGAAATGTAGGGGCAGGAGGGGAGCACATAACGGTGGGTCGGACCACACTCTCAGCTATTAGTCGATTTCACTTGACACCAGCAGGGACCCGACTATGGACCTTCAGAGATGGCACTGCTCATAACGCACGCGGAAAAGGCAACTTCAACCTTACTAGGAACCATTTGTTCACATGAGCAAGACAGTGTCCCGTGCTGCTTCTTTTTAAAAACAACCCCCCCCCAAAAAAAAGGGCAATGGAAGCCAGATATATCTCTCTATACTGGCGTGCGTAAAGGTAGCTACCGAATGCACAGGACCACCTCTTCGACAACGACAACGAAAGGAGGAAGTTGAGAGGAGTCACTCTCTCCTATCTCAGACCCAACAGAAAGCGGGCCCAACACGGCTGTTTCATAACGCGCTTCTTTCTTAACTACCATCTACATTCGAGGTCTAGTAGCGGCCTCCGCCAGGAACTAAGGAGAAGTGGGTGGGGAGGGAATTAAAGCAACACGGTGGGTAGCTTCACCAAAGAAAAAGAGAGAGGATGGAAAGGGAGTGGAAATCCAGACAAAACGACAACCCCCAAACCCAAAACTCCAACGACACACAACAAGGTTAGAATGGACTATTGGATTTACCCTCTCGGTTTCTGGTCCCCCTTTAGAGGATTCCTCTCCGCCAAGCGCCCCAAGATCTCTCGTGGACACAAGGGCTGTTTGGAAGAACCAGATCTGCTGAGCATGGGTGAAATAAAAACAATAAAAATAACAATAAAGGGAACTTGTCCGCAGGGTGGATGTCGTGTAAACCTCTTGATTATTATTTTTTGAATATTATTATTATTTTTTTGCACTCAGGTGGCAGGTTGGACCAGGGAGGGAGGTCTTCTTCGCCTCTCCTTCTCCTCCCCGCTTAGTCCTCTCAAAACAAGGGGTTCCCCGTGAAATACTGCAGTCGATCTCTGTTCAGTTTCTTTTCTTTCATCCGTCGATTTTGGAACCATATTTTGACTTGTCGATCCGTGAGGTTCAGCATCCTAGACAGCTGGAGTCTTTTCTCTTTGTTTATGTACACGTTGAAGAAAAACTCCCGTTCCAGTTCTCTTATCTGGTATTTCGTGTAAGGACATCTTTTTTTCCGGGATCGCTGGGGAAGTGCTGGACATTCAGGAAAGGAAGAAAAAAAACACAACCCAATAATGATGATAATAATAATAATAATGAGGGAAGCGGGGTGGGAGACAGAAGGGGGAAATTAGGAACGAAGAAATTAAGAAGCTGACATATGTTGTCCCACTCAGAACACTTTCAAGCAGAGCTACACTTCCTAAGGACTTACTGTAAGTATTCCCTTACTCCCTGGGAAACCGACCACTGAAACATCCAGGGAGTTTTCTGCCTCACGCTAGTCAACTTTTTCAAAGTGTTTTTTGGAAGGTGTGGGTGGAAGAAGAAAAGATGGAAAATCATCATCATCATCATCATCATCATCATCGACGTAATCCCAAGCTTATACTACCCAACTCCATTTACAGGACTGAGAGAAGGGCATAAGTGGAATTGTTTGAAACTGACTTTGCAAAGTACACCTCTACCCGTTCGGTTGGGACCCTGGTTTTTTCCCCTCCCCTTCCACAGTAGAATGGTTTGTCGAAAAGAATCCTGCCTCTCTCAAATGTCAGTCCCAAGTCCAGCCCAGACAGGATCCCCACTGAATTTTACACACACACACACACACACACACACACACACTATATATATATATATATATATATACACACACACGCTATATATATATATATATATATACATATACACACACGCTATATATATATATATACACACGCTATATATATATATATATATATATATATATATCTCACATACCAGTATATGTCTGAACACCCCTCCCCAAAACTTTGGGAGCTCTCAGCCTCCCAATCAACAGTTTCGTCACAATTAACATCCTCCTCCAAGAACATCTATAAGTTACCCTCAATAGGTTTCCTATCGTAAACACGCTTTACAACGGTGAGGGAAACCTTATAGGATATATAAAAGCCCTTCGGATGCTTATAAAATCTCACATAAAAAAGACCTCGGGCTTGACAAAGTGGTGGCCTCGTGCTCCCCTCCCTCCCTCTCTCTCTCTCTCCCCCACCCACCCACCTACTCACCCATCCTCCCTCCACCCACCCCACCCCTCTCAATTTTTGGCTTTCCCCTCGCTCCCCGCCTCCCCAACTTAGCAAATAAATAAATAATCAACAGCTCGGGGAAGCGGGGCTGGTCGTGTGGCTCTGCGGACTGGGCGCCTCTCCTTACCTGAAGTGCTGCTGTTGCTGCTGCTGCTGCTGCTGCTCTTGTCCGGTCGGGCCTCCCCCGGCGGCGACTCGGCGCTGCCCTCGCTTGTCACTTTCTTTTCCTGGCCGGGCAGCGGGGAAGCTTTGCCACAAGTGTTGCTGGCGAGCTTGAGGTCGCCCTTGTCGCCCTCTGGCTCCGGGTAAGGGGTGCCTCCTCCGCCTCCGCCGCCTCCGCCATGCGCCGCCTCGTAAAACTGGTCGAAGCCCTGCGGGAGGATCCCGTTCCTGCCCACTGCGCTGTAGAAGTTGGCGGCGGCGGCGGCGGCCGCAGCAGCTGCGGAAGCGGCGGCGGCGGCGGCCGCCCCGTGGTGGTGGTGGTGGGCTCCGCACACGGGATCTGCCTTGAAGAGCACGTCTGTCCTGCGGGTGGCCGGCTGCAGAAAGTCCCTGCCGTGCATCACCTCCTCGTAGTAGCTGCTGGGCGCGTAGCTGCCGCCTCGGTAGGGCCACTTGCCGCCGCCGCCTGCGCCGCCGCCACCTCCGCCGCCTCCCGCGTAGTCCCTGAACGCCGCCGCCGCCGCCGCTTCGCGCACCGGTTGCACATGGGGAGGCAGGTTGGAGGCGTAAGGGAAAGTCATTTGACAGGAGGGCGACTGGGACAGGAACGGGGGCTTGCCGGAGAAATCCGAGGAGGAGACGTAATAGGCGGCGGCGGCGCACCCGGGGAGGTACATGCTGGATGCCCCGTGGCTGCCGCAGTCGTCAAAGTCACTCATGTCTTCTCCTCCTCCAGCTGCTGCTGCCTCTGGGCGAGGGCGAGCAGGCGGCGGCAGCAGCAGCCGAGCCAGCGCGTGGGAGCCGGAGGAGCCCCATCTATCTGCGCGCGAGGCTTTGGGCAGGAGCAGCCACCACCAAGGGGGGAAAAATCCCACCGTGTGCTGACGTGCAATTCATCTTGATTGATTCGAGTGGTAATTATGTCACGTGACGGCAGGCGATGGTAGAAATGTCCTTATATCTAGGAACGGCTCCCCTTTTCGCCCGCCTGCCTTCGCCAGAGGTTCCTTCTCTCCAAGAATGCCCTTCTTCCGAGAGCTTCCCAGATCTCTCGCTCACACACACGCGCGCGCGCGCGCTCTCTCTCTCACGCGCAAAACAGGCACAGGTTTGGACAAATAGGACCTTTTCCAGCTCTTTCTCTCTCCCCCCCCACCTCCCCAAACTCCACACACACACACACACACTCCCCTTCCCCTCCTCCTCCTCCTCCTCCCCCCCGTTTCACCCCCCTTTCCCCAACCAGGAGTCTCGATAAGCTATAGGTAGGGCAGCAAATCACCTGGGAATGCCATCCTTTGCCCAGATTCCTGCGCGCATACATCTCACATGCACAGCCCAGACCTATATATCCTAGCATAATCCTCCACAGAACTGGAAAAGAGTCAGGCACACAAAGCCTACGACACATGTCCTGGTTTGAGACACAAACAGGAATAGTTTGTATTTCTATAAAAAGAACAAGAACAAACAGTCACCGGAAATGCAGTCAGGAAAAGCTTAAGGGCCAAGAAGGTGTTTAGGGAGAATATCTCTCGCTTTCCAGACTTTGCAAAGCAACCGCCAATATTTGCCCTGATTGGAGCATCCTTTCTCCTTATTAGAAAAAAGCATGCAGGAGCTTGTTGCTTCTCTCTCTCACACACACACATACACACACACACACACACAAATGCTTGATAGCTAACTAGCCAGCCAGGGTGTCTTGTAGCAAAACCAGGACGTTTCCCCTGTTTCATTTAATATAACGCAGTTTTTGCAACTCGAAATTCTGTTGCTTGCTTCCCTTCCCTACTTCCCGATATCATTTTGTACCGGACCAGAAAGAAAGAGAGAGCGAGAGAGGGAGGGAGGGAGGTAATATGGAATGGAGACTAGGTCTATCTGTCTAATCGATGCAGTCTTATATATAGGCATCCACTTCCACCGCCACCCGCGTTTCATCCAAGTGTGAGCCTCGTTCCCGAGCGCCTGTTGGACTGACAGAACCCTCGGCTGCATCAGACATCTTCGGGTGGGGCAACTGCCCCAGCACAGTCGCTTCCTTCTGAAAAGCAACAATCAGATCCACGCAGAAACACACCCCAGCTTCAATGTCACTTGAAGGGGGAAGGGACGGGGGAAAGACACAGTATTTGAGAATTAAATTCCGAAACACAGAACCGCACAAAGCACCTTCACCTCGCGGTTGTGCGGTTGGAATCGCTCCCTCGCCCTTCTCCCTTTCCTTCTCCTTCTACACATTCAAGGCTCATGAAATGAGCGAGGACACATTAAATCAGATACACACCGAGAATCCCCACGGAAGAAGAGGCACATTTCTTCTGACAACAGGTAATAACAGAAGACCGGTTCTTTCCTTTGGCTGTAGTACAATGTCAAGTTTAACCCCACAACTTTGTTTCTCCTCCTGGTCGAAACAGTACCAGAAGACCGTCGCTTTACTAAAGACAACAAGCTGGAAATCCATGTCTATTTCCCGTCCTTTCCCACTCCCCAACTTCTGAGGGCTATTAATAAAATAAGATAAAGAGGACATCTAAGATTATTATCCAAGATACTGATAGTAAAATGAGATGGAATTTATTTTCTCTTGTGAACCGTAGCCAGGAGCACGAAAAAGAAACCAAAAAACCTCGAAAGAAATTGGATTTCAAGGCCATCTAATATGACTTTCTGAAGGGGGGGGAATGATTTTTTTAAATTATTATTTTTAAAAAACACGCATTCCGGTCTCAACCTTGTAACGTCCTTATACATTCAATCCTTTAGAAGCACGAAGGCGAATTAAAACAACGAGGCTAATCGTAGTCAGACGGGTTTAAAAGCCTTAGTTCAGTGTGGGCTTTCGAGCCGGCTAAATAGGTGTAGGATTGGAGCAGTGTGTGTGTGTGTGTGTGTGTGTGTGTGAAGATTTGTGTGTAACACACACACAAATACACCTCCCAAACAGGAAGAGAATACGAGATATTATTATTATATACTTTGTTATATTGTTTTACATTAATGAGAGGCTTATATGGATATATAACGACACATATTCGTTTGATGTCCTCGATAAGTCCCAAAATGACCAAGTATCTTGGACAAGGGCGCCTCCTGACTGACATCCGCAGTGGCTCACAAGTCCTAAGCCCTCTTTTGCACTTAGCTCTAGGAAGGAAGAGCTGAGAAGGTAGGAGAAAAACCTTCATCTCTAAAGCCTAACCAAGCCAAGTCCCAGCTTCCCCATATATGAACCTCGTTCCTAATTAAACAATAGAAAACAAAAGGGGTGGGAGAAGTAGAAGGAAGGGGAAGATCATATGCCCAAATGGTATCCAGATCTCCTTCGAGTGTCCACCATTTAACCATGGTTGCCTTGCTTGTATGACGCCCATCCACGAATCACCACCACAAGCTCACACCAAACCTGCGCAACAGATCCGGGCATAAACCAGCCGCACCACCCAATGTCCATTTAGCCAGACACAGTTCCACCTCCTTTCTTTCGAATGCTCACGCTTGCTTTTAGGTTTTGCTGCAATGAATGGGCTCCCGTTCCCCTCCCAAATGTTGACTGCGCAGCTAAAATGGCCCCTGCGTCTCCTATCGCAATGGAGCGAGGCAAAGGCTTTCTCGCTTGCGCGGTTGTCTCCAATATATCCTCCAGACCAAGCGCCTCAGGATCATGCGGAAAAAGCAGACGATTCCAAAAGCAGACGATTTCCCCCCCTTATTCGCCCCCACCCATCTACGCCCCCTCCAGTAACCACACCACAGGAAATCAACATAAAGCTAATAACCAGCATCCTGTCGACCCCCCACCTCACCACTCCTTTTCAAAAACCCTTGAATCAGCTACATATCTGGATAGGAGGCAACTAGTTTCCACCATTCCAAGTTCAAGGACACGGCGGTCGTTTGTTAATAAGGAAAAGGAAACGAGCGGGGGGGGTGGGAGAGAAAGACGCCCTCCACGATTCTTGCAAAAGACCACTTACAGTCTGGAAATGCCTATTAAACAAACCACAGCAAAAGAGAAGAATCCGGTGTCCTTGAGCCGCTCAAGGATTCCTACCCTGATTAAGACGCGAAGAGAAATCTGGGACTTTTCCACAGACGCGTCTTCAAAATGGGTCGCCCTTGTTCTATCCGGCGCGGTAGCATTTCAAACCCGGGAACTAGCAAACCAACACCCCACCCCGCCTCGCCCGCCTCGCAACGCGCAACATAAGCACAGAAGGGTGGCTTTACCGTTCGGCGTCTTGCGAGGTCTGTCGTCGTTGCCTCCTGGAACTAGCCGGTTTTCCACTGCCAGTGACATCTCCAAAGAAGTCTCCGTGAAAAATTAGGACGGCTGGCATAACGGTGTCGGAGCGAGAGGGGGGGGCGGAAGAGAGAGAAGCAAAATATGCCTGGTCCGCCCGGAGAGAAGGTGCTGTATATTTGTGCCACCCAAGATAAGACACTAACTTGACCTTAACTTTGTTATGGCGCCCCTAGTATCTGGAGAACGTGAACAGACACTGTCTGGCAGCTCTCGTAAAAACTGACTGGAGAAGCGATTCTGAGTCATTTCATTTATGGCCACTACAGTTCTGCAAGAAAGCTTTTCCTCCCTGCCAAACTTTAATTATTTATGCTCTTTTAGGAAACACAAAAGCGCCCAGAGCCATTTAAAACAATCAGAGGGACGTTCCTTTTGCCTTATCAAACTCCCAGGCATTGCAAAAAGCACCCCTGGCTTAGCCTATCAGAGCGAAGGACTCGTCCCCGCGACGCCAACAAGATGCGGATTTGGGGATTGACTCCAGGAGGAAGATGTATGTGGACATGTGTGTCGCTAATGAAGCCATACAATCATGTTGGGGATGTGTGTGTGTGAAGGGGAGGGAGGGAGGGAGAGAGAGAGAACCTTATTTTCTGCACACCCCACCCTCCAAATCGCATCACACCAAATACACACCACACCGCCACAAACACACACACACACACGTACATACACACCCCAACGCTGAATGCGGGTCATTTACAGCAGCACCATTTCTTTCTGTGTACGATAAACAGAAAGAGAACAGCAGTCCTCTATCCTTCCAGTCAAGGATGGAGCTTTAACTGAGATGCCCCTCACAAAGCATTTAAATAAATAAATAAATAAATGCAAGATTAAGCTCTAGGCCAAGTAATGCTGCAATCCTACGCACATTTACCTCCGAGGAAGCCGTCCTGATGCCAACGGGAGCTCACACGCCTCCATGAGCATTGATTCCTGCTGTAAGAGGACTTGCTTCCCAGAAAACGTGCTTAGGATCGGAACCGGGTGCAAACCCCATTCGGAATCCACCACGGGCAATTTACCTATGGAGTCCGACAGCGTGTAAATTGCAGTTGATCGGCATGTGAGGATGCGCAGATGCAAAGCTAACTCATGTGTGGTTATCGCCATTTTCAGGTTTTTATCCACAGCAGCTATAACTGTTCCGAATTTAATGTCTAGTACCTATATATATATATATATATATATATATAGATAGATATAGATACCTCCAAGATAGCCCCAACCTACCCCGTCCCTATGATCTTTTCCCTAGCTACAGTCACATATACAGGCATATATGATGTCGACCTACCTAGAGCGGCCATGACACCGAGCGAATAGTATCTGTCGCAATGCGCTTCTCCAGTGATACGCATTTTTGGAGCAGTTTACCGACCATTGTGTGTGTGTTGAGCGCTTGTACGCCTCGGAACCAACAGTTGTTGTTTTTTTGAACACGTAAATACCAGGAATATTTATTTCGGTGGCTTAATTCAAAAATACATGGACACACTACATATAATGTGCGTATACTGATACTGCTTCTTTCTCTCACTCATTTTATTTCACTTCTCACAGACTAATTGCAAGTCCATAATCATCCACAAATGGAAACCAATTGAGCTTAATAAAGAACGCATCGTCATTTCTATATTTTCCGCCGCTAATGGTGCGATCTTGCACAACCGTTGAGCCTGGTGTTTGCAAGGAGTTAGTGAAAGAGAGAGTAAAATCATAATTATAATAAAAAAGAGGACCATTAAAGGATGCCCTTCGCTTTTGGGTCAGATGTGCTATTTGCGAGGTAAATCGCCTGTAGATGCTAGCAAAAATAATCTCAACACGGAAGGAAGTTGGTTGTATTCGTAGGATTGATTTTCGTTAATTCAGTCTGTATTTTATAAACATTTATTTAGCGACTTAGAAAACTAAACAAGACCTTGATTACCTAATCAGCTCTGTTGTGGCCTCCGTTGTCTAACGGGAAAAAATTGGGAATAGAGATGGAAAGGAGTCGACCATATAATTGAAAAAGAATCATTAGCTCCCAGTCATTCCATAACCATCATTGTTATTCTGAGGCATCATTAAATATTTGTCTTATTTTAATATATATATTTGTGTGTGTGTGTGTGTGTGTGTGTGTGTGTGTGTGTTATCTGTTAGCTTTTTCTCTATAGCAGTATTCAGATATTTAAAAATATCGATTCCTTCTTAACCATGCTTATCGCCTTAGACTTCTCAAAAAAAGGGGGGAATTGTAGATAATCATTTTTAAGACAATAATGCACTGTAAATACCGCATTTCCCCCCTTGCAAAATGGAAATTGTTTAACACGTCTGATAAACTGCTACGGCCATCTACAGTTAAATAACATCTCCGCTCAAAACCATGCCTGGCCGGGAAACATTTGAAGGAGGTAAAGTTCAAAGATTTAGTTAATACTAAAAATGTAGATAATAAACATGAACTTCGTTTTAATTCCTCATTTGCGGGGTGGGTGTGAATGAATGAATGCCCGGCTTTTAGCTCTGGAGAGATCTGGAAACGTGAAGGATCAAAACAAATCACTGATCAAGGGTTTAATTTGAAGATCAGGGAAAACAAATTTCATTTTATCCTTTGTGGGAAAATATATTTCTTTCCGCATTCGAGGCGTCTGAATTGTGAACTACTCTCTCGCTCTTAGAAAACTATTATTACACACAGTTATCAGATGAACATGAAATTATACCACAACCTCCACTCAAATAAGCTTCATTAGTTTCCTTGTGTGCCTATAGAATCACAGTGTAAAGGAAAAACAGCCCCCAAGGTAGATCCCTGGCCAGTTGTGCTTAAAAACTTGCTGGCTTGGCGAGGAGTTTTGTTTTGTGATATGTGGTGTGAGTGTTTGTGAAAGCAGGGGCTGGAAACAGGCGGCCGAGATGGAGCAGAGGATATTCCGAATGAGTCGCATCCTTGATTCCTTTGTGTCTTCCCTCCCTTTATTTTGCGCGCAGCCTTTGGGCAAGGCCAAAGTCAAGCTAAAGAGGAAGGAAGGCTGCGAGCAGCCGAGACAGAGCGCTGAGCCAAGGGCAGCCGGCGAGAGGGGCGAGGGGCAGTTTGGGGCGGGGGGGGGGAGGCAGAACAAAACAGAAACAAACCGCAAATGGCAGACAGAGTGTCGGAGGGTGGACGGTAGGGAAAGGAAGCCAAGATGTTTGGATAAGCCTTTGGAGGCGCGGGCCTAAGTTGTGTTCAGACTTAGGCTAGAAAGAAAGAAAGAAAAGAAAGAAAAGAAAGAAAGAAAAAGAAAGAAAGAAAGAATACCAGAAGGAGACTGGGTGCCAAAGGTGCGCCTCAGGCATGGCGGGAGGCACATGGAGAACAAAGAGACCTGTGGCACCGTCAAGACGACAATCCAGACTATTTGGCAAGACAGAAGTTTCTGTGAAGTGCTGTCTACTTTGCCCAATGTCCTACATAACGATGGTGGTGAAATCTCCTGGGACTCAGGATCCCATTTGGTGTTGTATGTGGCGAACGGTTAAGAATGTGGACTGCCTTAAGAAAAGGTGGTCAAAGAATAGAATTGAAGAGCGGGAGGGACCCCGACGGTCATCTAGCCCAACCCGCGGCAACGCAGGAATCTCAGCTACAGCATACAGAGCAGATGGCCGTTTTCAAGGTGTCACTCTGTTTCCCCTCCTCCCCGCGACAGACTAGCAGGGCGGCCCCTCTGGAAGCGACTGCAGCGGGAAGCGCGTGGACGCTGGTTATTAGCACACACACGCGTGCACAAGTTTGCACTCCGTTTGCTTGTGGCGGAGGCGCCTTCCGTTCCAGCGCAGCAATCGTGGGGTGAGGACCAAGCGACAATGCCTGCGTCTGGAAACCGAAGCAATAAGGCAAGAATAGTCGAGAAGCCACTCCTCGCTGTCAAGGGACAAAGAACCCTGAACAGGATCCACTAGGATAGGCAGCTTCCTCCGCCCTCCCCACTGCGGCGCAGGCCCCACCGCCACGCGCAAAATAAGACCCCGGTAACATCTTCACTGCTCCCCACCAAAATCGGCAAGAGAAATACTAACGATCCAGGGAGCTTAACAGCCTAACACCCCTCCAGCATTTTCAATTCACACAGATTTTTGCTTCAGGGCAAGCAGACACAGCCGCGGTTTGGTCACCTCCATCTTCCTTCCATTCCTGGGAGAAACGCGAAGATCTTTCCATCTTCTGCTCCCAAACACCTCCCATCTCTCTGTGTCTGCTCTCTCCCCCCACCACACTTTTATCTAACAATCAGGGCTCCAGAAGTGGGGGGAGGGGTTGTTCGAGCAATCCTCGGAGGGGGCTCAGGCAACGAGGCCAAAACGCCGGAACGCCTTGCGAAGTAACCGAGGAAGATGACAGCCAAGCCTTGACTGCGAGGTCACGTGCCTTTGTCGCAATAAATACATGTGTGCGCATATGTGTGCGTGTCTGTGTGTAGCTATTTCAAAAAATATACATTTTATTGTGAACCACTTAAAAAAAATATGTTCCAACGCTTCCTTGTTTTGTGGTTTTGGTAAAACAACCCCCCCCCCACGCACACTCCGCATCCTACTGCAAAGTAGCTGGAGCCATACACGGATTACCTGCCAATGCAACAATTTTAGGGCCTTTCCCATTCAGCCAGAGTCACACACAATATTCTCCCTTTGCTTTCACGCAGATCCAGGCGGCGGGCAGGCGGGGGGGGGGGCGGGCGCTCGAGGCGTTTCTTCCCCCCAACTGAAGTCTTGGTGAGGGTGGAATGAATGTTAAAGAACATAACAAAAGAAAGAAGCAGACGAGGGGGTGGGGTGGGGAGAGCTGACCCCACACATTTCCTTTATTATAGTTACAGTGGTACGTCGGGTTACGTACTTAATTCGTTCCGGAGGTCCGTTCTTAATCTGAAACTGTTCTTAACCTGAAAAACCACTTTAGCTAATGGGGCCTCCCACTGCTGCGCCACCGGAGCACGATTTCTATTCTCATCCTGAAGCAAAGTTCTTAACCCAAGGTACTATTTCTGGGTTAGCGGAGGCTGTAACCTGAATGTAACCCGAGGTACCACTGTACTTCCTTTCCCCTTCAGCCAAGAAGTGAGGCTTTTGCCGATTTACAAAGCCAAGCAGGTTGATTGGGGGGGGGGCGGGGAGCGAATCTGACTGCTTGGGCTAGACCCCTGTCAACGCTCCCCTCCAGATTTTGCCTGCGTTTTCGCCTGGAATCCGTAGTGGTTTCGCTTCGCTTCGTTTCGCGTCGCTTTGTTGTCCCTCTGCTGAGCCGCGAGACAGCCGCTCCAGAGGCAAGTTCATGATTAACAGGGAGGAAGAGAGCCAGCCCCAAGACGCCCCCCTCCCTGGGCGGCGTCTCTAGTAGAGCGAGAGCGCCTGCTCGCGCATCACCACGCGCTTCTTCTTCATCCGCCGGTTCTGGAACCAAATCTTCACTTGCTGGTCGCTCAGATTCAGTCTGTTGGACAGCTCTTTCCGCTTTTGCCGGTTGATGAACTCGCTGAGGAGGAACTCGCTCTCCAGCTCGGTGATCTGTTGCTTCGTGTAAGGCTTCCGTTTCTTCCTCGACCTCCCTGGCGTGGGGCACCAGGGCAAACCTGCAACAGAAGAAGACACGTCGAGAAGGGGTTTGTGTTTGGTTCCTTCTTGCTTGGCGCGCTTGTTCTGACCGAGCCCGGTCCCCGGTGCTCTGGGTGGTCTCACGCAAGCGCGGAGGAAGCCGCGCCTATGGCAAGGAGGTGGGGAAGCCTATTTCAAGAAAGCAAGGCAGTTTTTAATCCTCTAGGATTTAAGCCTGTAGGATTATGCGCTTTGGGGTGGGATGGAAGTGATGCGCTGCAGTCCGAATTTGCACAAGTCCCATCCGGAGCAAGCGCCACCGAACCCAGAGGGACTTACTCCCGACGCAGGAGCAGGCCTAGGGTGTTGGTGGCTGCGATCCTACCCAGATTTTCATGGAAATGAAATCGGTGAGGCAGATAGGCCTAACAGCTTTACCGTGGAAGTAATCTCACCGAGTATACAGGGGTTTGGGTGCAACATTTGTGAAGGCTCAGGGACCGGGGAGGGTTGGGTTGGGGGGGGGAAGGATTCTCTCCTCTAGCAGCGAGAAGGCACATACCGTCCTGCAGAGGAGGTCTGAGGTTTGGCTGGGTTGCTGCGGGCGGGAGTGTCAGGTTCAAGTTGATGGCGTGCTTGAGGTCCTCCTTAATAAAGCCGGAGGCGGAAGAATCCGCGTTCAAAAGAGACGCTGATGCGCTGGGCAGTCTTCTCGGCTCATACCTGAGCCCTTTGGCCTGAGTCGCCGCCGCCGCCGCCGCCATCCTCACCATTCTCCCGCAACTCGAGTCGTCGGTCAGAGCTTCCCGGCTCTGCCTGCTTCTCTCGTCCTGCTTGGGAGCGGCTTCGTGGGCGGAGTACTTGGGGTGGTGTCCGTCCAAGGCGGCTTTGCTGCCGCTGGGGTTGAGGCTGACGCCGGTGAGGGAGCCAGTGGCTGCGGCGAGGTAAGACGGAGGCTGCGTCGAGCCGCTGAGTACGTGGCTGGACGGCTGAGCTGGGCAGGAGCTGGCGCAAGTCCACGCGATGGGGCTCCTCGGGTAGGAGAGCGCGGGCAAAGAGGCAGCTAGCTGGTGGCTTCCATTAGCTCGCAGGTTGGGGAAGTAAAAGGAGTCGGCGGCAGAGGGCAAGTTCAGGAGGGAGCCCACGTAGCCCGGCCGGCAGAGGCTCCGGTCGCACATTTTCCAACGCGAAGGACGTGCGCTTCCTCCGTCTTCATTCAGGGCGGTGTGCGTGGAACTGTCGGAAGAGGACTCCTTCTTCGCTCGCGGGTGCTCCCAAGCCGGGCATTTCCAGCGCCTCTAGCAGACGAGCCTCCTTCGCGAAAAGTTGCAGGAGAACTTCTCGAAAGAAGGAGATGGACCCCCAGTGCAGCGGAGGAGGAGGAGGAGGAAGAGGAGGAGGAAGAGGGCGGGGGCGGAGGGGGGAAGAGATGGTAGACTCCAGTCATGGGACGCCCGAGGGCAAGTGGACGGGGATTGCCCTGGTGGCAAAGTTTTAGAAGACCCCCCCCTCCCCCGTTTCAGGGATTCAACCTGCAGGAACCCCCCGTTCTCTGCTCCCTCCCTGGCAGGCGCAAATTAGTCGGGTTCTGCGTTTTAACCTCCATCATGGCTTCCCTCACCATCATTTATTCTTCCAAGAGTTAATTAAGACCGTGTGTGTGTGTGTGTGTGTGTGTGTGTGTGTGTAATATTACACACACGCACACACTTGCATATTTGTTCTTTGCATAAGTAATATACAAACCTTGCCTTGAGGAACTTTGTCTAAGTACAGTACCTCCATCTATATACAAAGGTGAGGACGTGCTGCTTCGGCGAGGAAATTGTTTTGTTATTTTATACGCGCATATCCTGCACATATTTTGCCTCCTGTCTATTGTGAGATAGCAGGAAGTGGAATGAGCCGCAGTCCCTCACATGAGGATTTGAACTTGACATACCGCGTGACTCTAAGGTATTTCTGTAAACATAAATGTGCGGCGCAATCTTTACTCAGGAGTAAGGCTTCCCGAGGTTTGCTCCTAGGTAAGCATGCGTTGGGTCACAGGCGCAATGCAATTTCAGCAGTTCTGAATTCTGAATTAACAGTTCCCATTACTGATATATTATGTACAATATTAATACGTTCTACCTGTATACTGAATGCACGGAGAAGTGTCCTATTTATCGAATGAACACATTGGGGGGGGAATATCTGTTTATTTTAATGAAACTTTATCCCTTCATACCTAGTGGAGATTGCTTGTCAGTATAAGTTCTCCCCATTTTAAAATTACAACTTTTGGCGTCTTTCTGCCAGGATTTCCATTAAAAGCGAGTTCTTGTTCTTTCTCACACGCCATTATTTACAATAAACTGCATATATATGATATAATGTATAAATTATATAATGTATATAATGTATAAAATGGATATACATTTTTTTAAAAAATCACAATTCCTGGAAAAAAATATTGTGCTGAAAGGGAAGGGAGCTCAATTTTTCCTGTGCTCTCATGGAACCTTACCTAACTCGCTTCCAAACCTTCTGCGTGGTAAGGGCTCTCTGGAAGTTTCTCCCATCGATTTCCTTGGGACTGACTTTGGCTTACCGATAAAGTAACTCCCCGCAAAGGAGCGGGCCTGCTAAGGAAGGTCTTCCGAGAAGATCGAGGCCTGCTTGCTTTGAAATCAACGCTTCGCTTCGCAGGAAGGAAAAGGAGGAACCTGCTGTTGGTTCGGCAGAGCAGAGGGCGCGGATATGCGTAATAGCGGCTACGGCGAGCCTTTTAAGTAATGACCGCCTAATGGACAGTGCTAATTTGCATGGCAATTACACACACACACGCACGCACGAGGCACCTTGGTTAGAAGTAGAGAAGCTGGAAGGGGCCTTCCAACCTATCTTCCTTTGGGAGGCAGCAGCAACAACAACAAATGACTGGGGGACTTCCGCGTTTGGGGCTGAATCTCCACCTCACCCACCCCGAAGCAGATCCCCTTTGTTGGCTATTTGGACCGTACCCTCAATGGACCAGAAAGGAAGGACGCTATTCCTCAGAGAGTGCCTTACTCACTAGCCATTTGAGGCAGGTATATTTTTACTTAAGAAACCTTTGTGACCGGCTCTATAACGGAGACCCGACGTTGTTTGGGGAGACGCCTTTTTTAAAAAATCGTCCCCAAGTCGTCCGCAGCAGCCATTTGTCACCAGACCGGTCTCATTTAAACGCGGCGCGTTTAAAAACGGAATGCGAGGGTTACCCTTAAGAAGTGTCAGAAATAGATTCGCAAGGAATACCGGGCTGGCTTTGTCCCCTGTCCGCGGAGGCCCTGATTCTGCGCGGCTGGAATCGACCGAGCCGTCGAGGACGCAGACGCTCTCCAGCTTCGTGGCTGTGGCCGGTGGCCTGCGAATGATGGCCCCTTCCTGACCGAGGGACCTGGAGTCCAGGAGGGCCCTATCTAGAGGCTGACTGAACACTTGGGGGAAATAATTCAAATCTGGGACAATTCGAACTTTTCGCCTCAGGCACCAAAACAGGCATCAAAATAGTGTAAGACCGGTTACAGGCATCAATTCGGCCTCCAAGATGCATTTCTGAACTGCGTAAGGATCGCACCCTGCGATATTCTGAATTTCAAACTTTTAGCGCATTCAGCTTCTATCCAATCTTTTGGAAAGCAAGAGAGAACATTGGTTCCTCCTCGTCCTGTTGTTGTTCGCTTGCTTGTCTGATTGTTTTTATTTAAAAAAAAAAACCTGGAAGATTTAATTCCTTATGTTGTATTATCTTATTGGTCCAAGTTCTCTTGGATTTTCCCTTGGAGATCACAGGCGCGGCTCTTTCCTCTCTGCTTTGATGGCGAGGCACCCCCAGCCTAAGAGCACCCCCGCCAGAGAGCAGCAAAACAAAACAAAATCCCTCGGCTTTGAAATAAATCTTTAAATCATTATTCCCCACATGATGCTGCAGACCACACCAGACCACACAGGCACCGCCGGAGGATATTGCTCACCACTCACATTTAATTTTTATTGTTTGACTTATGTCTACCAATTGAGTTTCTCTTATTAACTTGGGGGTTTTGGCTTTCTCCAGCAGGTCTCATCCAACGGGGAACAGAGCTCAGAAGTTTCTGGCAAAAAACTTACTCTAAAAGACAACTTGTTACTGTTCTGCTACTTAAGAACATGTGCGTTTGTTTGTGTCTCTCTCTCTCTCTCTGTGTGTGTGTATTTTAGTTCCTCTCTCTCTAATGCTAGGTAGATAGAGCAACAGATAACCCTCTGGTGCAAAGAGGGGGTGCAATCAATCACAGAAATTTATTTTAAACGGCAGAACAGATATAACATATAATGCTCTCAGTTTTTCATATACACAAATGACGGCACATTTAAAACTATGGCTATGCAGCCCGGCTCTTTCAGTATGTTCTTGAAAACAAACCCCACTTTATTCGTTTTTTAAAAAAATTTGTTTATGCGTTATTGCAACTTGTATATACATAATACAATATCTATCCTTTATCCCTTAACCTCGGACTTCCCAGTCTATCTCTCCATAGCATTGTAGGTAAACCTTTGTCGGCTGCATATTGTATCATTCCATCCATTTCCGTCTCAAACCTTCCTTTATTTAGTATTATCTGCTGCTCATAGGTTCATTACTACTTGTAGGTTAAGTTGACTATTTTCCCCTCTAAGATATTCTCCAAAACGCTTCCACTCATCTCTTATCCGTGACTAAATCCCACTTTATTCCATCGGAACTTACGCCAAAGCCATTACTGCCTTGCGCTTCTGCCTCCTTCACATCGGAGAAGCCTGGAGCGGAGAGGGCTCGCTGTCCAAGACAGGATGAGTCCCTGAAACCCGTCGAAGATATTGCCACAATAGCAAGTGGTCCGTGTTGCTTAGCTATGAAACTTCAGGAATTGATAGTGCAAGCCTATACGTGTTTTCTCAGTAGCCAGCCCTCACGGTTTTCAAGAAGTGTGTAGGGTTACAGCCTTAATGGACAGCAATTCTTCCACCCCTCGTTACGCTTACAGAAATGGGAAATTTCCACCTATGCCTTAAATACACAGGTACAAAAAGGCGTACTCACCCCTGCCTTACATACTCTATCAACATCCTATCCCATCCTCTATCCTTGCTCAAAACAAAGGAGGCCAAATCGATGGAACGGCGCAGTTCCTCGCAGGTCTACTGAGAAGTAATACCCGTTGAGTTCCATAGTAGGGGCGCAAAGGGGTGCAGCCTTAATTCTTCTATCTAAACTTCATGTCTATGTGTGTTATATTTTGGTACCCAACTGACCAAATTTTGCTTCCTTTGACTCCCATGAATAACCGCGGGAGTTACTCGTGGGAAACCTAGGGCGATGGTCGGAAGGCACGCGAGAGGCACTCAGTTTGCTGGGTAGGTCTGGTCTATGCCCGGCTGGGAGACCTCCTGGCAACCTCACGTCTTCCAGTTTGGGCTCACGGCGGAAGGACGGTGGGCTACAGAACGGCATGGAAATTAGCCAATGGACTGAGTGATAAAATGGGAGAGCCGAGAAAGTCCTTAGCAGTGCTGAAGTCTCGAATAAGTGTGCGTAAGGCTGTCACCACCAAGCCTTTCCCATTGAAATCAATTAGGAAGTTTGACTTTGGGTGCGTCGTGTCGGTGGACTGGAAATGCCGATGAGAAAATACTGATGAACTCGTAATTAAAACAAGTTAATTACACTCTCGAGAAATCGCGAAGCAAGAGAGACTATTACCATACACTCACAGTGCAATGTTGAACGCATTCAGAGGTAGTCATGGTTCAGTCCCAAGAGATACGTGTGTTTATATCAGAAGGGAAACAGAAAGGGCTGGGTGTTAAGATGCGGTGAAATGATGTCACTATTAAGAGCTCCCATAGCATTACCCTCAAAATGTGGATCATTCTAGCAGAAAGGACAATGAAAATAGAAATAATAAAACCTTATACTTGAATATATACCGATACAGCAGTGAGGATGCAGCTAAAAGATAAGTATCAAACCAAATTATATACCTTGCAGCAAGTCTATTTGTGTTGGAAGTCTAGATGCAACTCAGATTTGCAGAAGACAAGTTTGTTTTTATTCACAGGACATTTATTTATGCAGTGATCAATTGCACCACGTGCAAAACAAGCACCCTTACTCTGTCGCTGAGACTGCCTGCTTGCAGCCTCCTCATAATCTGAGGTCCTAAACTGTAGGTTACTTAATTTGCGCATAAATCCAGCTCTGGGACTACAAATAGTATATAAATTGACTCAACGTGTAAACTGAAAATTAATTCTGGTTCTGCATTACGAAGAGTTCTGTATAACTGACAAGCTTACACAGTCCGGCAGAAGTTCTTACATCAAAAACATGCCGCCTTATCTGGTCCATAATCTGACCCTGATCACGTTTACCAGGAAATAAATTACATTGATTTGAATGTTACTTACTTCCAAGATGTAGTGCATGCGCAAAAAGGGACAGAATAACAGATCCAGAGCAACTTGCAGGATGTCTGACTCAAATTGTTTAACAACAGCAAAAACTAAAATGTTTGCACCCACCCACCCAATAATAGGCTGCTGAGAAAGAACGCTTGCGTGGTGCTCCGAGTTGGTTTATATGTGAAATGTGGGGCTTAAACTCGGTTCTGAAATGCACCGCAAAATTATGAGCAAAACACATGCCCAGAGGCACTCCATTCCATATTCCTCCAGTCTAACTCTTGGACCTTGGAGGTTTTTTTTGGGGGGGGGGCACACAAAATAAATCCCACAAATGCGGCCCCCTTTATTGAAAAAGAAATCACAGCCACACAATGTGACCCTCTACATTGTTTTATGATAAATAAATCCCACTGACATTTAGAGGACCTTATGTCCCAGGATGTAAATGTTAGGCTGGAGATAGTAAGGTTGCAATCCTAACCCCATTTATCTGGGAGTAACTGCTATTGACTTCTAAGTAGACATGGGTAGGATTCAGCAGGGCTTACTTCCTGTAAACAGTAAACCTGTAAACTTGACAATCCTAAAGGTATGGTCTCAGAATCAGTGGAAAATAACAGCCATTTCCAGTGTAGTAGGACAATGCAGTCCTACTCCTGTCTCCTCAGAAATAA